TTAACAAAATACATTGTTGCCATACCAATACAGAATAAAGTGCAAAAACTGTAGCAAAAGCAATTTTCGAAGATTTTATTCTGAAATATGGTCCAATGAAGACGTTCATTACGGACATGGGAACAGAATACAAAAACTCAGTTATAGAAGATTTATGTAAATACCTTGGTATCAAAAACATAACTTCAATAGCACACCACCACCAGACTTTGGGAACAGTAGAGCGAAGCCATAGAACATTCAACGAATTCATTCGTTCCTACATATCAGTTGATAAAACTTATTGTGATACTTGGCTACAATATTTTGTTTATTGTTTTAATACAACACCTTCCAGAACGCACAACTACTGCCCATATGAACTAATTTTTAGCAAAAACCCAAACATTAACAAGGCATTTAATAGTGTTAATGAACACATTGAACCTTTATATATGCTAAAGAATCAAAATATAGATTGGAAAAGCATATAAAAGAGCTAGAATAATGCTAGAACAAAACAAGCAAAAGAATAAGCTTATATACGATAGTAAAGTAAAGAATATAGAATTAAACATAGGAGATAACGTACTGTTAAGAAATGAAACAGGGCAAAAGTTAGATCCAGTATATATAGGACCATTTAAGGTAATAGAAATAGAACCTAGCGATAACATAGCTATAAAGAATAATAAGAACCAAAAGCAAACAGTTCATAAGGATAGGTAAAAATTGTTTAATGAGTAAAAAAAAAAAGGAATGGTTGGCCACCATATTAAAAACAAAAACAACAAAAAAATCTATTTTTCTTTAAATATTCATTTATTCATATTTTATATTCGTTATATATTATTATATTACAAAAAAAAAACTATTTAATTATTAAAACTTCAATTTTATTTTCAAAAAAATATAATAACAAAAAAAAAATTTATTTTAATTCAATTTATTTATTAATTATTTATTTAGAATCAAATTAAAAAAAATTTCCCATTTCGATCCGAACATAACCCAGCAGACTTAGCTAGTCGGGGGGTCTCTCCTCGGGACCTATTGGGCAGCACCTTGTGGTGGCATGAGCCGGAATGGTTACATCTACTACAAGACCAATGGCCAGTTCCTGTTACGGTACTTGAGACGGAAATAGAATAACTTGCAGTTAAGTGCAATGTCTCACAGCCACCCTCCTACAACATTCTGGAACGATTCTCCAGATTCGACAAGGCATTGCGAGTTATCGCATATGTCTGTCGCTTTATCCAGCGCTGCAGAAATCCAGCGATCCACCTCCCTGCTGAGCTTCGTAATGAAGAACTTACGAGAGTTCAGGGCCTACTTATCGAGTATACCCAACGCCAAGCTTATTCTAAGGAGTATAGCTGTTTACTTGATAAGAAGCAAATCCTAGGTTCAAGCAGCATTCGCAACTTAAACCCCTTCATTGATCAAAGGGGCATTCTACGATCCTGTGGACATGTGAGAGCGTCAACCTCATTCGAATATGATGAGCGACATCCCATTATTATTCCGGCCAATTGTGATTTTTCACGCCTCCTGGTTCGATTTACCCACCATAAGAGCCAAATACTGGATCCCAAAGATCAGGGTCCTGGTAAAATCTACCATAAACTCCTGCAAGGTCTGTGTAATACACCGTCGACGACTTCAGACCCAACCTTTGGGCGAACTCCCAAGGGCGAGATCAACCTTTTCCCGACCCTTCACACACACTGTTGTAGGTTTTGCCGGACCTTTCGATATCAAAACCTTCATTGGTCGAGCGTGCAAAATCACCAAGAGTTATGTCTGTGTCTTCGTGTGTTTCAGCACGAAAGCAATCCATTTAGAAGCCACCACAGACCTAACAACGGAGAGATTCCTGGCCGCATTTTCGCGATTTATAGCAAGACGTGGCCTTCCCCAGCAGATGTATTCAGACAATGGGGAAACATTTGTGGGAGTCTCATCCGTTCTTTTGGAGAGATTTCTTGCAAGCAACCAAGGAGTTCGGCTTATCCAAGCACAGCCATCAAAACTTGTGTTGGCATTTCAATTCCCCTGGCGCTCCTCACATGGGCGGATTGTGGGAAGCGGGTGTTAAAAGCTTTAAGACCCACTTCTACAAATTCAACTCTTCCTCTAAATATACAATTTTCGACTCTCCTCCCCAAGATTGAAGCCTGTCTTAACTCCAGGCCAATCTCTCCAATGTCGGAAGATCCGACCGATTTATTGGCTCTAAGTCCAGGCCACTTACTAGTTGGCGGCCCTCTTCTGTCAATTAACGAGCCAGTAATCCAAGAAGAGGCTATTTCCATAATTAACCGCTGGCGGCGACTCAAGGCACTCTACCAGCAATTCTGCTTTCGGTGGAAGAACGAGTACTTGAAAGAGCTCCATAAGCGGAACAAATGGCAGTCCCCTACAAGGGACATCCAGGTCGGTGATATGGTGATTATCAAGGAAGAAAATCTAACAATAAATGAGTGGCGCCTTGGCCGAGTCCTTCTCGCTTGCCCAGGCATAGATGACAAGGTCCGCGTAGTGGACGTGCTTACCGCTCGTGGTGTCATCCGAAGGCCAATAGCCAGATTGGTCCTTCTTCCCACTGAGGCGAATAATACCTCCGACTAATCATTTAAAGCAACTAATCCCTCTTTATGAAAAAAAAACTAGCGTAAAAAAAAAAAATTTCCACCAAATAATAACACCTTTCAAACATCTTATTCTCCAGTTCACTCCCCTGTAGAGAACCAGCATGGCACCGTCAACGAATCTACCCAATCGACGCCAAGGAACGGACTCCTTTAGATGCCGGGTGTGCAGAGGCATCCATGCGCTACGAAAGTGCCAGCGCTTCATGAAGCTTACGCCCGAGAAGCGCCTCCGAGCAGTATTAATTAATAAATACTGCGCCAATTGCCTTGCCCATCAGCACTCAGGGCAGTCATGCCGCAGTGGAACTAAGTGCAAAATTTGCAAAAAGGATCACCACACACTACTCCACATGCGTGATCCCCGTGGCTCTCGACCCTCTCGGTCAGCCAACAGGCCCCCAAGAAGAGCTTCTGGCTCCTCGCCTTCCAGCAGCACATCACTTCAAGGACCAAGATCTTCCACTATACGGACGTCGCTTACGTCCCTTCTCCAGCACAAGGTAGTCAGCATCCTGCCCACTGCCATAGTGCTCCTCGACACCGGGAAGAAGGCCCTCGAGACTCGGGCCTTGATCGATCCGTGTTGTCCAGTAAGCCGTATTAATGCAACCTTGGCAAGGGCCTATGGCCTTTCCGTCACTCGCATTGGCGCAGAAGGAGCGTGCTCCAAGACAACGCAGATGTGTCGAGAGGTAATCTTGAAGGCTGACCCCCAACTCAACTGCATAACTCCAGCCAGGGCGGACAACAACTGGTTCCTCCCATCTCCAGTACCATTGGTACTCGGCGTCGATGTCTACCCAGACGTTATCCTACCGGGCATCCTCCCGAGCCAAGGCGGTCTGCTCATAGCTCAAAATTCCAAGTTTGGGTGGATACTCTCTGGCACATACACGCAATAGGGATCCTTGCAATCTAAATATTGGCAGGTGGGGGGGAGGGGGGGGGGGGGGAGGAGAATGTTGATGCCAGTTCAATGGTAGTCCGAACGTTGCATTGACTGAGCTTCACTCAATGAGAGAGTCCCTCAGTGAGAGAGACTCACTCAATGTTAGAAACTCACTCTCAAATAGGTTAAAAAGTACGCTCAGAACTCTCCCCACGATCTCCACTCCACTTCAACAGTTTTGACACGAGAAAATGCAAATCTCTTCTAATGTTAAGTTCATTATATGCAGCCGCAAGTGAAATAAAAACTACTACAATTTATAGAAAAAATCCTTGTTTTATTTGAAGACGACTATTTTTACTTATCCGACTCCTCCACCACTCCTCCACAAACACATTAAAAGGTGAAATATTTTTGAATTTGCTATCCCTTGCATTGTTCTTCTTCTTTTATTTTCTTAAAACGTTGTCCCGTATAATTCTTGTGTGCTGTTTTCAATTATTTATGCATGGCGAAGATTTGTCCTCTTCAGGGTCACTGTAAACCTACATCGGAGTTTTATTACGCGATGCAGGATATACACACGCACATATAAACGTTTTTCACAAAAGGCGAAAACGGTTGTTGGACAACTTGTACTTTTTTTTTGCTTTCGCGGTCACTTCGCGAAACCTTTTCTTTGTCTTTTTGTCGCGTCCACATGTCCAACACTTACGCTCGCCGGCTGTTGATCAGCTTCGGCGTCTTACGGCCCTTTTCGCGCTTTTCGTAATTTTCGACGTGCGGCGAAAACTATCTACTTAAGACTATTCGCTCCTCCCGTTTAAAATTTTTGGTCAGAGTTGTCTATGATTATATTTAATTCGTAATCGGTCTCTCTTCACTTAAATCCTCTTCTCTTATACTCTTAAATGATTGGTTTTAAGTTATTTTAGACTTCAATATGTTCAACTTTTTTTTTTTCCTAATTCTTATTATGTTGATAAATATATTTAAATTAAGATTGATGGTGTGAACTATTGTTTTTTATTGATTTTGATTGGTTAAGGGGGCCTGTTGGTTTTCCGACGTGCTTTCGGCTTGTCGTACATTACCATTTTGTCTGTAATTGGTTAAGATTTTCTGGTGGTTATTGTAGTTGTTGGAATATTGGGTGTTGAAATAATAAGATAATAAGTTGGTTTTACAACACTGTGTTGTAAATAATAATTAAACAACACTGAAATACACACAAACACTCATTCATACAAAAGTTACAGTGTACTTGGTCACGAGGATCGGCGTTCTAACGCATCCTGCTGCTCTACGCCCTACGACCATGCCTTCCCCTTTTTCAGGAGACCGGTCATCGACTGCACCACCGACGCAAAATTGGGCATGAAGCGTAGCTACCATTAGGCCATGCTCATGCAATGCCGTAGCTCCTTGCAATTCGATGGGGCCGTCAGCCTTTGAATAGCGAGCACCTTTGAGGGATCCGTGCAGATTCCTTCGCCACTCACCACATGCCCCAAATAAACCAGCTCCCTCCGGAAGAACCGGCATTTCTCCTTGTTAAGCCTCATGTTCGTTTCCCTTAGTAATCGGAACACCTCTTTCTTTTTATACAAAAGTTACAGTGCCCAAGTAGGCTTTTGTTATTTAATACTTTAGTCTTGCTAATGAAATGCTTAAAGCGCTTAGCCTCATTCGTTGTGCAGCATCTGATTAAAGAAGTTGACGCGCTTAATACTCCAACTAATAAATATCAAAACGAACATAAAAATAAAACTAATTGTTATTATATAATTGTGATCGATTGTAAGGCAATATTCCAATAGGTTATGGGCCCAGACATCGCATAACAAAATAATAGAAAATCGTGCACAATTAAACAAATAAAAAATAAAATAAAGCAAAACATTGTAAAAAAATATTTGGCTAGTGAAAGAAAATAAAACGAGAAAGAAGTGCTATCTTCGGCACACCTAAGATTTTATACCCTTGCAGACCCAACCTTATCAAAATGCTCATAGTGCTTTGCTCGTATCTAAGAAGCACAGGGAAAATAGTTAATGCCGAGTATGGTTAAGATATCTTGAAAAACAAAACAGGTTTCCATACAACAACTTAATTTTCGACAGATCGTTCCTATGGCAGCTATATGATATAGTAGCCCGATGTGAATAAGATTTTGAATAAGTGAAGGGAGCATAGTAAAACTAATAAATGCCGAGTTTGGTCAAGATATCTTGGAAAACAAAAAAAATTCCATACAACAGCATAATTTTCGACCGATCGTTCCTACGGCAGCTATATGATATAGTAGCCCGATCTTAATAGGATTTTGCATATATACGGGGAGCGTAGTAAAACTAATAAATACCGAATTTGGTCATGATATCTTGAAAAACATAAAAATTTTCCATACAAAAACTTAATTTTCGACCGATCTTTCCTATGGGAGCTATATGATATAGTTGTCCGATCTTAATAGGATTTTGCATATATATGGGGAGCGTAGTAAAACTAATAAATACCGAGTTTGGTCAAAATATCTTGAAAAACATAAAAATTTTCCATACAAAAACTTAATTTTCGACCGATCGTGCCTATGGCAGCTATATGATATAGTAGCCCGATCTTAATAGGATTTTGCATATATACGGGGAGCGTAGTAAAACTAATAAATACCGAATTTGGTCATGATATCTTGAAAAACATAAAAATTTTCCATACAAAAAGTTAATTTTCGACCGATCGTGCCTATGGCAGCTATATGATATAGTTGTCCGATCTTAATAGGATTTTGCATATATATGGGGAGCGTAGTAAAACTAATAAATACCGAGTTTGGTCAAGATATACCGAGTTTGGTATAGATATAGTATACCATACTAAAACTTAATTTTCGACCGATCGTGCCTATGGCAGCTATATGATATAGTTTTCCGATCTTAATAGGATTTTGCATATATATAGGGAGCGTAGTAAAACTAATAAATACCGAGTTTAGTCAAGATAACTTTATAAACAAAAATGTTTTTCATACAAGAACCTACTTTTCGACCGATCGTATATGATATAGTGGTCCGATCCAGCTGGTTTTGACATATGAACTGCGTTCAACAGAAAGAGGGAATTCTGCAAAGTTTCATAAAGATAGCTTTAAAACTGAGAGACTAGTTCGCATAGAAACAGACAGACGGACATGGCTATATCAACTCGGCTGAATATATATACTTTATAGGGTCGGAGATGTCTCCTTCCATGCGTTACACATTTCACGACAAAATTATAATACATTCTGCAAGGGTATAAAAATGTTTTTCATACAAGAACCTACTTTTCGACCGATCGTTCCTATGGTATCTATATGATATAGTGGTCCGATCCAGCTAGTTTTGACATATAAACTGCGTGCAACAGAAAGAGGGAATTCTGCAAAGTTTCATAAAAATAGCTTTAAAACTGAGAGACTAGTTCGCATAGAAACAGACAGACGGACAGACGGACATGGCTATATCAACTCGGCTGTTGATACTGATCAAGAATATATATACTTTATGGGGTCGGAGATGTCTCCTTCTATGCGTTACACATTTCACGACAAAATTATAATACCTTCTGCGAGGGTATAAAATGTGAACGCTTAAAAACGTTTTAGACAAAGCAACAATGAGGCGGAGACGTTGAAAACTTTTTTATATATTTTTTTGTGATAACCTGTGCAAAACCAAAGGGAAGAACCCAGACTTTCAAGTGGTTAACGCCGATAACTAATTATTAATTGAGGTCAAGTGACTAAAGTGCATGAACATAGGACCACGGGCAAAGAGTGGACGGGTGCAGCAAAAGGTACCGTAGAGCGAGGCCGGTACGCAGCGTCACTTTTTTTTAGGGTGGTCAGCTAAATTTTGTTTTGTGGATCGGTGAAAACGAAAAAAATAGAAATGAATATAAAATTGAAATAACTAAAACGATATATATAAAAATAAATTAAAATTTATATGACTAAAATCAAAATAAAATAATTATAAATAAAATAACTTAAAAGAAAATAAATAAAATTAAAAATCAAAGTAAAATAATTGTAATAAAATTACCAA